CAAAATAGACAAATGGGATCTAATTAAACTAAAGAGCTTCTGCACAGCAAAAGAAACTATCATCAGAGTGAACAGGCAGCAACCTACAGAATGGGAGAAAATTTTTATAATCTATCCATCTGACAAATGACTAATACCCAGAATCTACAAAGAACTTAAACAAATTTACAAGAATAAAACAAACAGCCCCATCAAAAAGTGGGCAAAGGATATGAACAGACACTTCTCAAAGAAAGACATTTATGAAGGCAACAAATATATGAAAAAAAAAGGTTCATCAGCACTGGTCATTAGAGAAATGCAAATCAAAACCACAATGAGATACCATCTCACACCAGTTAGAATGGCAATCATCAGAAAGTCAGGAAACAACAGATGCTGGAGAAGATGTGAAGAAATAGGAACACTTCTACACTGTTGGTGGGAGTGTAAATTAGTTCAACCATTGTTGAAGACAGTGTGGCGATTCCTCAGGATCTAGAATCAGAAATACCATTTGACCCAACAATCCCATTACTGGGTATATACCCAAAGAATTATAAATTATTCTACTATAAAGACACATGCACATGTATGTTTATTGCGGCACTATTCACAGTAGCAAAGTCTTGGAACCAACCCAAATGCCCATCAATGACAGACTGGATAAAGAAAATGTGGCATATATACACCACGGAATACTATGCAGCCATGAAAAGGGATGAGTTCATGTCTTTGCATGGACATGGATTAAACTGGAAACCATCATTCCCAGCAAACTAACACAAGAACAGAAAACCAAACACTGCGTATTCTCACTCATAAGTGGTAGCTGAACAATGAGAACATGTGGACACAGGGAGGGGAACATCACATACTGGGGCCTACTGGGGAGCTGGGGGCTAGAGGAGGGATAGCATTAGGAGAAATACCTAATGTAGATGATGGGTTGATGGGTGCAACAAACCACCATGGCACATGTATATCTATGTAACAAACTGGCACGTTCTGCACATGTACCCCAGAACTTAAAGTATAATAATAAAAAAAAACTAAAAATAGAAATACCACATGATCCAGCAATCCCACTGCTAGATATATATTCAAAAGAAAAGAAATCTGCACTCCCATGTTTTTCACAGCACTATTCATAATAGCCAAGACTTGGAAGCAAACTGAGTATCCATCAACAGACAAATGGATAAAGATAATGCAGTACATATACACAATGGAGTACTATTCAGCCATTAAAAAGAATGAGATCCTGTCATTTGTAACAACATGGATGAAACTGGAGGTCATTATGTTAAGTGAAATAAACCAGGCACAGAAAGTCAAACTTTGCACATTCTCACTTATTTGGGACCTAAAGAGTTTAAAAAATTGAAATCCTGGAGATAGAGAGTAGAATGAGTGTTACCAGAGGCTGGGAATTACAGTGAGGGGAAGGGAAAGTGGGAATGGTTAATGGGTATGGGTACAAAAATATAGTTAGAATGAATAAGATCTAGTATTTGACAGCACAACAGGGTGATTATAGTCAATAATAATTTTTTTTTGAGATGGAATCTCCCTCTGTCACCCAGGCTGAAGTGCAGTGGGTGATCTTAGCTCACTGCAACCTACACCTCCCTGGTTCAAGCAATTCCCCTGCCTCAGCCTCCCAAGTAGCTGGGATTACAGGCGCATGCCACCATACCCAGCTAATTTTTTTGTATTTTTAGTAGAGATGGGGTTTCACCATGTTGGCTAGACTGGTCTTGAACTCCTGACCTCAGGCAATCCACCCATCTTGCCCTCTCAAAGTGCTGGGATTATAGGCCATAAGCCACCACACCCAGCCAGTCAATAATAATTTAATTGTATATTTTTAAATAACTAAGAGTGTAATTTGATTGTTTGTAACACAAAGAAAGAGTAAATGCTTGAGGATATGGGTACCCCTTTGTATCCTGAAGTAATTATTACACATTTTATGCCAGTATCAAAATATCTCTTGTACTCCATAAATATATACACCTACTACGTACCCACTAGTTTTTTAAAAATAGTCTCTTAAAGGTAACTAAGGAATGGGTCAAGGTGATATCTCCACCACCGCATGTTCTGCTACTTTCACTCTAATCCACACCATACCTGTGTAGTGTTGAAAAGGCAGAAAATGTAGCTGAAGATGATCCTGATGCTATCATCATTAACTAGCATCAGGTATGCCAGAATCCAGGTAATTCCAAAAACAACTGCAACAGATAATGTGCTAACAATCTTCCTCATGGATGAAACTTTTTTTGTGCTAGGTGAAAGAAAACAAGAAAAATAATGTAGTTCATTAGAGTTTTACTCATCAACATCATTATTACTCTCCTATTTAGAATGCATATTCAGCTGCCCATACACATTGTTCACTTAACAATATTAAGCCCCAGGTGGAAAAATGATGCTAAGTCTTACATCACTCTGGAGAAAATCTGATTTAGCAAGCTTTATTTTGACTACATTGATACTTGTTTAAAACTTCAGGCAAACACAGCTCCTTAATACCACAGCAGGCAAATTTCAAGAACCAACTTCTTCATTGAAATGGAATTTCAATGTTGTGAGTATTACTACAGATCAGCCAATGGAGGAATCCCCTTTTTTGGCACCTTGGACCTTCCTGAGCCTTAGGTTGATGTGGGAGAGAAAGGTTAGTTAGATGCAGAGTGATCTTCTTCCTCTTATGGAAAGTCTATGCCCCTGGATCGTGGGCTTGGCCATGTGACTTACTTTGACCAGTGGAACATTAGCAAATTTATCAAGTAGAGACTTGAAAGCATCTGTTTATTAATTTGCCTTCCCTTACACCTCTTTAGAACCCTGAGACCACTATGTTAAGAAGCCTGGACTGGTTTAATGGCAGATGAGAGACTATATGGAGCAGAGATGAGCTTTCCCAACTGAGCAGTTGCTACTCAAACCAACCAAACACCAACCACCAGACATAAAGGTGAGTCATGAAGGATTCAAGACGGCCGAATAGGAACAGCACCGGTCTGCAGATCCCAGCGAGACTGACGCAGAAGGCGGCTGATTTCTGCATTTTCAACGGAGGTACCAGGTTCATCTCACTGGGACTGATTGAACAATGGATGCAGCCCACAGAGGGCCAGCTGGAGCAAGGTGGGGTGTTGCCTCTCCTGGGAAGCGCAAGGGGTTGGGGAATTTTCTCCCCTACCCAAGGGAAGCCTTGAGGGTCTGAGCCTGAGGAACTCCCGCACTGATACTGCGCTTGTCCCACAGGCTTCCAAACCTGCAAACCAGGAGATTCCCTCCAGTTCCTGCCCAACCAAGGCCCTGGGTGTTAAGCACAAAACTGGGCGGCCAATTGGGCAGACACCGAACTAGCTACAGAGCTCTTTCTTTTTCCCCCATACCACAGTGGCGCCTGAAACACTTTTACACTGTTGGTGGGAGTGTAAATTAATTCAACCATTGTGGAAGATAGTGTGGTGCTTCCTCAAGGATCTAGAACTAGAAATACCATTTGACCCAGCCATCCCATTACTGGGCATATGCCCAAAGGATTATAAATCATTCTACAATAAAGACACATGAAGACACATGCACACGTATGTTTATTGCGGCACTATTCACAACAGCAAAGACTTGGAACCAACCCAAATGTCCATCAATGGTAGACTGGATTAAGAAAATGTGGCATGTATACACCATGGAATACTATGCAGCCATAAAAAATGATGAGTTCATGTCCTTTGCCTGGACATGGATGAAGCTGGAAACCATCATTCTCAGCAAACTGTCACAAGAACAGAAAACCAAACACTGCATGTTCTCACTCATAAGTGGGAGGTGAACAGTGAGAACACATGGACAGAGGGAGGGGAACATCACACACTGGAGCCTGTCAGGTGGTGAGGGGGTAGGGGAGGGATAACATTAGGAGAAATACCTAATGTAGGTGATGGGTTAACGGATGCAGCAAACCACCAGGGCACGTATCTACCTATGTAACAAAACCGCACATTCTGCACATGTAACCCAGAACTTAAAATATAATAATAAAAAAAAATTAGCCAGGTGTGGTGGTAGACGCCTGTAATCCTAGCTACTCTGGGGGCTGTGGCAGAGAATTGCTTGAACCCAGGAGGCGGAGGTTACAGTAGCCAAGATCGCACCACTGTACTCCAGCCTGGGTGACAGAGTGAGACTCCATCTCAAAAAAAAAAAAAAAAGTGAGTCATCCTAGATCATTAATAAGCATCCAAGCCAGTCAAGACAGAACTACCCAGCCAACACTCAACTCACAGCAAATAATAAACATTTGTCATTCTTCACCATTAAGTTTTGGGGCAATTTGTTATGTAGCTACTGAACACATGAAAGTTATTTGTTAAATAATTAAATCACAGTCTGCTTGTCATTATAACTAGGTCAATTTATGAACCACAGTCTATCAGTCAAAATTTAGCAATGCAAATTTAATTGGTATCTGGCCAAACATGATAATTTTTGTATGAAGGAAATATATCCTAATGCGCAATTAGGTAAAGAAGCCTTTACCAAGGTTTTTCTGCATTGCTATTAAACATACTATTTTTTCTTTCCACTCTCACCACTTATGTTCAGTAAACATACTTTTAATGTTTATCAGTGATAATATTTTTTACCATATTTCTCCTGAATATGAACTACCATTCACACAGGAAGAATGATACTTACCCTTGATCTGTAAAGTACATATTTCAGATATAGTCCCACTAGAAAAAGGTGCCCAAGTGAAGGCAACAGGCCGCTGACAGCCTGAAAGGAAATGAGTGAGTCTTTGGTGGTTTGTAATGTTGCTGAAGATTTAGTGCAAAAGCTGAGAAAGTTTCATTTTCACAAAGAAATGAACAATGCTGCTATTATAATGAAAACTGACAAGGATAAACGCCGGGTAGTACTGGATGAGGAGCTGGAGGGTATTTCACCAGATGAACTTAAAGATGAACTGCCTGAACGACAACCTCACTTCATTGTGTATAGCTATAAATATCAACATAATGGATGGGAGAGTTCCATATCCTTTGTGCTTTATTTTCTCCAGTTCTGTTGGACGTAAGCCTGAACAACAGATGATGTATGCTGGGAGTAAGAATAAGCTAGTCCAGAGAGCTGAACTAACCAAGGTATTTGAAATAAGAAATATGGAAGACCTAACTGAAGAATGGTTAAGTGATAAACTTGGATTTTTCCACTAATGTGAACTTCTGTGTTTCCAAAGTATTTATGTATTAACCTGACCATACTGGAACCAGACATCAATACTTATTTGTGTCTAAAAATGCATTACTTACAGTCTGTTTTCTGCAGTAAAGAAAAATTCTTCATTTGTGCAAAGTTTGAACCAAGAGGAAATCATTTTCATAGTAATGAACCTTTGTATGGTGTTTCCTTGTATTGGTAATTGTTAGGTGGATTACTTTTCTCCAGGGACTTTTTGCACTCTTATGACTAATTTCTATAACTTATGATTCAGAATTTGTTATTATTTACAGACACTATTGGAATGTGGATATATTAGATTGTAAGAGACAACGGTTGCCTCCTTTTGACAAATACTGGATATTAGCAGTTTATTTATGAAAATAGCGTATTATCACTTGTCAAATCATTGAAATTAATTTGGGGTCAAAGACTTGAGTGGCCCAGTATTGAGCCATGAATAATTGACTGTAGTGTAACCTGCATCACAAGTACACTGATCAGTTCTGTATCTTGTTTGGTTTCCTGTATCTTTTTAATCAAATCTAGAAACTATGTTCATCAATCACTAATTTTTAAGGTTGGGGAGTTAGATTTTATGATAGAATTATGACTGTTAGCTTTTCTCCTTATGGAAAATAGCATCTTAGTCTTAGAAATTGGTGGGTTGTAATAATCAAGGGCTTCATTCCTTTTATGTCATTTCTAAACAGTTTTGCATCTAGGTTAATAACACTTCATTTATAAAGCACCACTTAATGTCACTAATGAACACTAATTATTTTAAATGTGTTAATAATGTGCCTTTGATTTGTTAGCTTTAAAGTTAGTTTAAGACTTTTACACTGCCAGTATTCCAGATTTGGTGAAATTAATACTTTTTTAACGATTCCAAATAAAATAATTTTCTAATGTGTATATCTGAAATTTATAATTAAATCAACTTCATATTTTAAAAATTCCAACTATCTGCTTGCATTGGTGAGTATATGGCAGTCGAGAGTTATAATTTTAGGTATATTGTGATTAGTTTTGTGCCATAGGAAAAAATTATCTTTAAACTTAGTCCATAGTTAATAACGTTAAAACAATAATATCACGTCTTATATCCTAAATGTCAGAAGATATTCTGAACTGGCTGCCTGAAGAGTTAACTAAACCAGTCTTGTTAGATGATGGTATTCTTGGCATAAAGCAAGGATTCTGTTATTTGGCATACTTGTAGAAACAAATATATAAGTAACCACTGAACATTAATTTGATAATAGGTCTAGAGAATCTAAAGACTAACTAAATTTGGTGAGTTAATTCTTATATTAAGAACATCTTAGTCATCTCATCTCAAAACTAGCAAAATTTAAATTTTGGCATGTTTTCCATTCATGTGCTCTTTGCATTTTATTTTTGAGGTTTCTCTGAGAAGTAAAGATAGTTGGAATTTTCATGATGTTGAATAGAACATCTTCTGTTCCCAACTTTGGCTCCACTAATTTAGAAGTCAGGAAGCAACAGAAAGTTAGTTGGAGATGAGGAAGTTCTAGAGTAGGTGTTAGCTTTGCTTCTCGGTGGGAAAAGATTCTTTATTCCAATTTCCAGAGAGAGAGAAAACTCACCCAGGAAGTTTACCAATTCTTTAAACAGGTATTTTGATATTGGAGAAAAACATGCATATAATTCTGTAGAAATGCAAATGTAATCCAAGTGAGTGGAGAGTGTTCTTAATATTTCTGAACGAAGGAAACGGGGTTTTGTTTCACCCGGTTTGCAGCAATAAGAGAAACTAGTGCCGCAAGAATGTATTTTTAACTGAAGTTCCTTATTTTGTCTTGCATGTTTTAGTTTTGTTTATTTTTAAATTTGCAGGTCCTCCATAATGTCAGATAATATTGACCTGCCATACATTAGAACGTTTAGTTCCCCTACTCTCTTGAACAGGAGCAAAGAGCTGTGATAAACCATGCCTTTTTGAGCTTGCCTGACTCCTAGTCAATAACATCTTTTTTGCAACACAACAGATTGAGGTCAGAGGATCAGTAGGACATTTTTATTTCATCTGTTCTATGGGGAGATTGACAAATCCCATGGTCTAAAGTGTTCTCAAACATTTGTATAGACTTCCCTTTCATCTTACTAAAGTTTGCATTGTTCTTTTCAAGTATATTTCCTATTTAGTGTCTTTTTTCTACCATTCCCCAAATAATAACTCCAGGTTTCATAATTCCAGTTTTTACATTCCATATCTTTCTGGTGCAACCATTCCCATTCAGCTTTAATCTTTCTTTCCTTTTTGGCAGCAACTTTTTTCCTGGGACCCTCCTTCATGGTCTTCTAAGTCAGCGTTAGTTTTGAAATTGTTGGCCCTGCATAAGTTCTGCATAGCATCTAATGTCAAAATAAAATCAACCGGTAATCACAATATTATTTAGTGTGGCTTCCATGACAACAAAAAATACATATGAAGAAAACTTCTCAGATTAATATGCTGAAATTCCAAAATGTCTGAGTTTTGAATAGTGATCACTTTGTTCTGGTATTGATGCAATTATATTAGGAAAAAAGTTGGTTGACTGCTTTAGTTTAACTGACTTCTAAAATAAACATTCAAATTGTCTAGTTCTAAAAGTTTACTAAATGCCTAGTGCAGTTAAACATACTGTTGTTTAAGAGCGTGTAGCTAAATTTTTTTACTGTCATTACTAAATAATCTGTGTGCCAAAATGTGTGTCAGTACTTTTCCCTCCCTTTGACCTCCTATTTTCGGGGTCATATGTAGCCATAAACTATATCCTTGTCTGACACTTTAGCTAAAAACTTCCAGTTAGGGGAGTTTATTGCCAAATTAAATTTGGCTGTTTCCCCCCAACCCATACAGATATTAAGGAAGGTGTACTTAAAAAATGTTTGAACTACTTCTAAAACCTGAGCAATGTCATTAATCCATACGCGGACAAGTGATGAATAGATATTTTCATAAGAATTTAAATGCTGTTATTTGGTGGAAGCAGAGGGTAATTTGTATTCTATAAATTCAAGTATTCTTACTATGGTTGCTTTCCCTATTTGTTCAATAAACTGATAATACTGGAATCTGTAGAGTTTGAGCCGTTAACAACTTTTGTGAGGATGTGTTTCAAACATTTCTGGACAAATCTTATTTTGTGTTTCTGAAAGAATGTAATAATCTTCTAGGCCACTTAAAATCAATGGTCCCAAGCTGAATATTCTTGAGAAATTTGTTTTTATTATGCCATTTGACATTTCAAATCAGTGCTCATATACAGTAAACTTGTGATAGAAATTGTATTTTCTTGCTTTTTGGAGTATAATTCATATAAATATAATTACTTGAATATTGTTTGAGATCATTACCATGACAGGGCAGTTCCTGCTGATTTCGATGGTCCAATATAACCTCATGCAGGAGGCTGGAAACATTAATGGTTTAGTCTTGTGAATTTTAACAGTTCTCTGTCATCATTTCAAAAAACCAACAACCGGCACAACTTCTTAAGCTGTGGTTTCAATCTCTGCTAATTCATATTGCATGTGTATTTTGGACAGTGTTTTGTTAAGCATGGTGCTTGTACTGCTTTAAATAAAATGTCAGCATTAAAAGAAACAAAAGACAAAGTCCCACTAAAGATGGTGGCTTTTACTCATCTGGTCACACTAAGTGGATCTATTTGTAAGCTTGCTATAAGCTCACAGATGTGCTTGCATTTGTTAAGTCTACTTAAATATGAGCAAAATCTTACAGAATTAAATCTGAACTCATAGTCTCATTAGCACTGTATTCCCGTCAATGTATGCTATGGAGATGGGGTCAGGAGGGGTAGAGTATAAATGTTTAATAGTTTCTGCTTTTTGTCTCTCCAACTGAATGCTCTTGTTGCATAGCAGGGATGACAATGAAAATGCTTTCCGGAGCCAGAAAGGTTATAGAAAGGAGAGAAGCAGCATGGATGTGAACTGGTAAATCAGAAAGCACATGAACCCTGCAGGGAATGTCAGCTTAGAGTGGCCAGATATTCCAATTTTTTCAAGAGAAAATTCAATTCTTTCTTTTTGGAGATGAAGTTCGCTCTTGTTGCCCAGGCTGGAGTGCAATGGTGCAACCTCGGCTCACCACAACCTTCGCCTCCTGGGTTAAAGCGATTCTCCTGCCTCAGCCTCCCAAGTAGTTGGGATTACAGGCATGTGCCACCACACCTGGCTAAGTTTGTATTTTTAGTAGAGACAGGGTTTCTCCATGTTGGTCAGGCTGGTCTCAAACTACCAAGCTCAGGTGATCCACCCGCCTCAGCTTCCCAAAGTTCTGGGATTACAGGCATGAGCCATTGCACCCTGCCGAAAATTTAATTTTTAAGTGAGTTCTCCAAATTTTTGTATGGTTACGACTAATTTAAAACATTTAAGACTGGGCTTATGCCTGTAATCTCAGCACTTTGGGAAACCAATTGAGGAGGATCACTTGAGCCCAGGAGTTCCAGACCAGCCTCTTTTTGACAGAGACTACATCATTTTAAAAAATAGAAAAAGATTATCTGGGCATAGTAGTGTGTGCCTGTAGTCCCAGCTACTCTGGAGGCTGAGGGGAGAGGATCGCTTGAGTTCAGGAAGTCAAGGCTGCAGTGAGCTGTGATTGTGCCACTGCACTCCAGCCTGGATGGCAGAGCAAGACCCTGTCTCAAAAACTAATAATAAAATAAAATAAATAAGAAATTTTAGTGCTATTGTGTAATTCAAGTAATACATGTAAAATACAGCCAACAGGTACCGGATTGTATTAATAAAATGAAAATCCAGGGACCGGCATTTCCTCATAACCCTCTCATTTCTTTAATTATTCAAATATGATTTCTTGAATATTTAGGACAAGGGCAGAAATTTTTTTTTCTTGAAGTCTAGGTTTAGTTTTTAGTTGATCCTCGTTTTGTTGAATCCACAGATGTGGAAACCCAGGATATTGAGAGCAGACTATACTGATGTGAGAAGACGAGAAGATCCACTTTCTGAGTCAAAGTATAAGAGAAAATCTCTCCTGCGAACCACACAGCCCTGCCATTGTCTGAGTTTGAAAGCTCCTGGAACGGTGGATGTGTTATGGTGCTGCGTTAAGTGCTGGATGAGCCTTGCCTGGCAGCGTCCCATTCGTTGGGAATCTTACCTTGTCAGGTTCTGGTTATTCTTCCACAGCACTTTGATCGAGATGGTAATAAATATAACAACAT